CTTTTTAAACATTTTAAAAACGTTTTTTAAAACGATATTTATTTTTTATTGGTACGATATGCAAATTAGGTTCACAAATTTGCATCAAACAACATGAAAGCGTAAAGTTTTATTTTTTCCCTGTGAGTCATTATTCTTCTAATTTCAGTACTGAATCTGTCACAAGCATATGTTCAGCTCATATAAACAATATATGTTTAATCCCCCATATATTCTTAATCGTATATATAGTATATTCCTCCTTATATTCTTAATTGTATATATATAGTCTATTAAGCTTGGTCTCCCCGATTAGCAAGGGAAGTGTGCCAAGCTAGAAGCTTTGTAATAAAGTTGTCGTTGTCTTTGTAGTTCTTGTTGTCGTTATTGTTATTGTTATATCAACTTCGGCTCTAAAGTTTTCGGGTGAAATATATGATGCAGAATGGCACAAAGACGAGGAGACTGCAAAGGTACTTAAACTAAACAATACTTGTATCAATAACGTGTAATGTACTTTCATCAACACCACAGGTAGCATAGCGCGAATCAACTTTCAATCACGATAATTGAATATGCGTGTACATTCATGGGCATCAATGGACAATCAATAGCGCGTTTGTACATTCATATGCGCGGAATGTATTTTCTTGTGCGCGCAATCACAGGTATAGACTGGTGGGCCGAACCCCATATCGTGAGATGAAAGATGAAAGAGCATGCTCTTTTACAATTCCATGCAATCACTGGGTGTGATAAAACCTCTTTTTTGTGTGGCCATTCAAAGAAGAACGCATGGAAAGTTTTTCAAGAACACTTTGAGCTCCTCCTTCCGCTAGGCGCGGGAACGCTGGGACTGGATGAACTAAACGGTGTGGAGAGTTTTTTGTGTCAGATATACAAGACAGAGGCAGATTCAACTGACATGGCTCGCTTTAACTTATTTGCCAAATTTGTGGCCCCAGACAAGCTCCCGCCTACGAGCGACGCATTGAAGCACCATACAATGAGCGCATTATCRAGCTATGATATGGCGTCAAGCTCACATTGCACGTCCAATATTACCTCAACCAGAGGAGTCAGGATGGACGATCAAAGACGACTACCTGGTACCAGTTCTTATGACTTTGGACCCGATTCCCAATGCTTGCGTCGATCTCCTGCAATTGCAAGACTGGCTGTGCAACACAACGATGCAAGTGTCGAAAGTCAAAAATTGTGTGCACTGGACTTTGTAGTTGTAAAAATTCCACAAGTAACGAATGCATCAATGTTTATTAAAATAGCTGGTGGACTAGGTACAGCAGGTAAGTAGAAATATATGCGCTAAAGTGTAGACGACATATCGATAATTCCTTATAATGACATGDTTCACGTAATTGTCTGATTTATTTAGTAAACAAGTTTTAGGATGTTATTGTATCAATACTTTCAAAAAACGTTTAAAACTTTTCAATTCTGCTGAAAAAATTTGATGTAACTTATTGAATTACAATTTTTACTTCCCCATTCACGATTTGTCACATGACCTGCCATTTCCGCCTAAAAGCATCGGATATTGTTTAGAATGATTGTTTGCTTCATTGGAGATGTATAAAAGTTTATTTGAGTCGTCCCTGTAGAGGCCAAAGCATGAAATACTTTAAAGCCTCGTTTTCATGCTCAGTCTTGACGTCACATTTTAAATGCTTAAAAACATAGCTTTAGCGTTAAAATCCAACTTGGCAACATTGGTTTTTGAAATCAGCATACTTTAATTAACAAGAATAAGTATGTTGCCATAAATCAGACAGAAATGCCCGTACCTTCACGATATGGGGTTCGGCCCACCAGTCTATAGCCCAAGCTTGGTTTCTGTGGTGTCCTGTTATAAGGAAATGTATGGGGAATCATCAAAAATTTCAATAAAATCATC